GTATCGGTTCATATGCATTGTATTGTTTTTTTTTTTTTTAACAATACTGTTTTATGTAATTTTAAAAAAAATATATTATAGTTCTATTAAAACATGTTTGAAGAATTTTGTAGATAGAATGGTGGGAAGTATTTAATTGTAGTTGTCAACTGTTGAAGTAAATGTTCTACAGTTTAAATTATTTTATTTTATTCAATATTATTTTTTTAATCATGGTCATCTATGATTACCATGCACTAGTATAAATATAATCAGCACAGACTTAAAAAAAAAAAAATCAGCACAAACCTCAAAGGTTTGAGGGAGAATATCATTTAAGAACCACAGAGACAATTTAATATTAAATCAGTACAAAAAATTTTGAAATATAATTATAAGATCATGAGATTAATTTAAAAATAATTCTAGATAAAAAATTATAATACTCTTGCTTTGTTTTTGTTTTTTAAAACTAGTCAACAAGCGAATGATTTCTTGTTTAATAAAAATAAATATTTATTAATTAATGAATAACTACATGTTAAAATATGATTTATATTTATCTTTTTTTTTACAATCAAGTTTTTTCACATTCTTGAACTTATCAATTAACAAATGATTCCTTATTAAATGTGAATAAGTACTTGTTAATTGACTAATGATAACTTATTAAAATATAATATATATTTATTCCTTCTCATAATCAATTTTTTCATATTGAACTTATCAAATAACAAATGACTTTTTGTCAAATGAAAATAAGTACTTGTTAATTAATGAATTGTTACTTGTTAAAATATAATCTACACTTATCTCTTTTCATAATTAAGTTCTTTTAAATTTTTAAATTCATCAATTAATAAATGACTTTTTATTAAATATGAATAGGTACTTGTTAATTTAGGAATAATTACTTGTCAATTTAAAAACAATAAGGTAGGAGTATTATAGGTTTTTATATAAAATTATTTTTAAATTAATTTTTTATTCTTGACTAATATTAAATATCTTCAATGATATTTTTTAAATGTTTAATGCCTTTCTCCAATAAAACAAATTGCCCAACAAACCTATACTAACTATTCTTTGATGATCCGTTGTCTTTTTCATTTTAGGTGGATGAGAGAGAGGTCTCAAAAGAATTTATTAATTTAAATTAGGTCTTAAATGTTAAATTTTAAAAATTTATAAATCTATCTCTTAATTTTATAACTGTGTTGTGATGAATTTGTAACTTATTTCTTAAATTTTAATGTGCTTTATGAACAAAAATTATTTTTTATTAAAATTTAGAATATAAATTATAAATTTATCACAACATAATCATAAAATTAAGGAATTAAATTTTAAATTTCTCAAATTTAATACTTAAAATTTAATTTTAATTAATTAATTCTTGTAAGATTTCTTTATCATTCCCCTTTCGTTTTCTCTTTCATGCTTTATCGTTTTGACTTTCCCACCTGATTTCTCACAGTGGGTTGTTTGGTTTACTTTTTACCTTTTCTTATATACTTTGACTAAATTCAAAAAGAAAAAAACATTTTATTGATGATTCCAGAATCAGATACATCTGTTCTTATAAAAATTTTATTACATCAATTAATTTTAATTTTTTTAAATTATTTTTTTCAATAAAATATTTTTCTGATTTTATTTATAAATCATTTTTAACATGTTTTTATCAAAAAATTTAAAAATTTATTAACTCTTTTTAAAAATTTAATAAGTTCTTAATTTTTTATCTATTAAATATATATATTTTAATAAGATATTTTTTAACATTTAATGAAATGTAAAATAAAAAATTTGTAATAAAAATTTAATGAAATAAAAAATTTATAATAAAAATTTAATAATATAACTTATAAATTAAATAAAAAATCATCTGTCATTGCTTTATAAATAAAACAAGGAGTGACTCTTAGTTAAAAAAAAACTAAACAAGTACTAATTATGTGCTTGGCTCGCAGAAAAAAAAATAGAAATGAGAGAAAATAGGAGGGGAGAAAATAAAGAGAAAAGAAAATAAAAGAGATGTAATTTTTTTCATTGTACTTGGCTGAGCGAGAGAAAATTAAAAAGAAGGAAAAATTTCTAATTGTATATAGACAATAATAACCTTATTATTTATAAAAATATTTATACAATAAAATTTAATATTTTAACATATTATATATAACATATTTTTATCATATATTTTGAATAAAAACATTATTAAAATTTACTCTATCTAATACTCACAAAAATTATTTTATTTAATATAAAATTTTATTTATTAAATTATTAAATATATAATAATTTTAAAATTTAAAACTACAATCAAATCAAATATAAAGTACTTAACTAAAAATTAACTTAAAAATTTAGAATTAACATTTTTTTAATTAGTCTAAAAATTAAAAGTCTATGATTAAAATGTAAGTACACTATAAATATCATGATAAAAATAAAGAAAAGCAAGAGATGGTAATGAAAAAATTGATAGGTAAATTTAAAAATAAAATTTTTTTTCTAAAATCTTTTTATATTTTGGGAAGAAAAGTTGGATGAAAAAACGTGTAAGTTTCATGTGTTATTTTTCTCTTACTTTTTTCTTTTCTCTACTTTTTTTTTTGTAGTCAAGTGAGTATATATATATATATATATTTTATTTTTTTCTCACTTTTTAACGCACTATTCTCCCTCCCCTATTTTTTCCTTCTGCGAAACATTAACATAAGGGAAGACCAGAGGAGGACAATGGCAGTAAGCAATAACTTAAAGAAATAACAAAAAAGCCATGTGACCGTTGAGGTCTGATTTTTGCATTACCTCCAGTGTCCTCCTATCGAACAACCAATAGAATCGTGTTCGATGATGAATGGATAAGAATTCAAATCTTAGTACGGTGGCTCCCGTAGTATTGGGGCTGCATAGCTACAATGACAGGGCTGAGCTGGCTTTTTTCATGAACATGGCAGCATTTGGTTGAAATCTTAAATAGGTGCTGGTCCACTTATGTCTTCCTCTCAAGCTCCTTTTTACTTTCGAGAGGAAGAGGGATGTCAATGTCTACATTTTGTTTTTTTAATATGGAAGAAAACGTTGGCCAAATAAAAAAATAGGAAAGACGACGAGCTCCACGAACACGTGTAAAAATTTCAACAGTTGGGTTATGTGTGCACTTTCACAATCAATATTCACCATGGTATTGAAAACCGGACCGGACCGGCCGGGTCAACCCGGAAACCGGTGAACCGGTCCCCTGTCCGGTCTGGGTTTGCACTTAACCCGGTGAGAGAGTGAACCGGTGTAACCCGGTCAACCCGGGTTCAACCCGGTATAACCCGGATAACCCGGTGGGTTGACTGGGTTAACCGGGTTAATATTTTTTCAGACTTTTACCCCAAAACGACGTCGTTTTTGATTTTTTTTTTCATTTTTAATTTTTCAGAGCTCTGAGTTCGGAAAAAAATAACAAAAAAAAGTAAAATTGAAGTCAAAAAATAAAAAATTAGAGATAGAGCATGCTAAGTCCAAAAATATAGTATTTTATTATTGTTAGCAAGGTACGTAAAACCGGACCGGTCATTAAACCGGTCATGGCACTGGGTCACGGGTTAGTGGTTCAATCAGGGTTGAACCGGGGGTTGAACCGGTGGCAAACCGGTCATGATTAAAATAATACAATTTAAATAAAAAGACATTAATTATAAAAACATTCAACCAAATCCAACCACTCAAAAGTCTAACAATAATAAAATACTATATTTTTGGACTTAGCATGCTCTATCTCTAATTTTTTATTTTTTGACTTCAATTTTACTTTTTTTTGTTATTTTTTTCCGAACTCAGAGCTCTGAAAAATTAAAAATGAAAAAAAAAATAAAAAACGACGTCGTTTTGGGGTAAAAGTCTGAAAAAATATTAACCCGGTTAACCCAGTCAACCCACCGGGTTATCCGGGTTATACCGGGTTGAACCCGGGTTGACCGGGTTACACCGGTTCACTCTCTCACCGGGTTAAGTGCAAACCCAGACCGGACAGGGGACCGGTTCACCGGTTTCCGGGTTGACCCGGCCGGTCCGGTCCGGTTTTCAATACCATGATTGTTAGACTTTTGAGTGGTTGGATTTGGTTGAATGTTTTTATAATTAATGTCTTTTTATTTAAATTGTATTATTTTAATCATGACCGGTTTGCCACCGGTTCAACCCCCGGTTCAACCCTGATTGAACCACTAACCCGTGACCCAGTGCCATGACCGGTTTAATGACCGGTCCGGTTTTACGTACCTTGATATTCACCAACTCAAGCGTACATGATATAATTGCACTTATTAATTTAACATTTGAGATACTTTTACATCTATCTTCACTTTATAGTAATGAATGCTTTAGATGACTACTTTATATACGGATTTTCCTTTTAACCCATAAAAATATAGAAGCTTACCTTGAAAACTACTCACAGCGGCGAGATAAGTGGCAGACCTGAAGATGGTGCACGGTGGGGCTCGTGGGGGAGCAAACAAGGGAGAGAAATGAAGATGAATGAATTCGAGAACTAAGAGAGCAGACGAGGGAGAGAAATGACGAGAAAGAGTGACACGTGTAAAATTTTAGGTCAAATAAGGGAGTTAACAGTCAAATATTTTTACAGTAAAACGTTTTGTATTATTGGTGGTATATTATTGAACTCTTTTTTAAAAGTTTCTTTGTTTTTTTTTTCTTTTGGCCAACTCTTTTTTAAAAGTTTCAGTTGATGTTGTTGAAAAAGGTTAGGATAACATAGTATGCCGTTTTGTGAAAAAGTTTTAAAATATTTTTGTCATTTAACCCATAATTAATTATAGATTAATATAGCGCAAAATGAAAGAGGACATTTTGATTTGTGAATTTAAATAAAGTTGATAGGCTTATAAAAATGAATCAATGGAGTAAAATGAGATTATCACCCTTACCTAGAGACCAAGATGTCCTTTTATTCCCATGTAAAGTAAACAATGTCTCCTATATGAACCAGAAACTTCCCAATTTGCAGTCCACTCTTCCCAAAGCTTCAGATCTTCTGCTGCTTCTTCCACAGTCTCACAAATCTTCTTTCGTTGCTTTCCCAGCTTCTTCTTTTGCTTCATTTCTGCAACTTCCTTTGTGTTATTCGCATATTCTAATTTTCTGTTTCCTTTCCCTCTGCTCTGCCCGAAAAAGAAAAAAAATTACTGCTTTTTCCAACTTTCGCTGGGACCTCTGCGAATTGATTTTTCTGTTTAATTTCTCAACTTTTTCTCAAACGTCGTTTCCGCACTTTCCTTTGTTTTGCTTCCCTCCTGATCATTTTTAACTTCATTTTGCTAGTTTTTTGTGATATTTCCTGAAGAAGAAAATCCTACAAATTTCCACAAAAAAAAAAAACTGCTCTTTCAATTTGTTACTGCTCATATCTCCAAAAAAAAAAACAAAAGAAAAGTCTAGTTATCCTCTGTGCTTTCATTTTCTGTGATAGTTGGACTTCTTTCCTGTATGTTCTTGTTTTGATTTGTTGTTGTTCGTTTCTTGTTTGATTTCACAAGTTCATCATCTTTCTACGAAAACCTTCAGATTTCATGGTTGTCTTTGATCTGTGTGAAGCATTTGTTTTTTAAAGTTGTTAAAAACACCATGAGAAGGGTGGTGTCTCATGCTTGATCTATGTTGGAAGTCCAAGGAAAGCTAACTGTTGCTGGGAGATCTGAGGTTTACATAACTTGAAACTTCAAAGTTTCTCGTTGGCTACTGTAAGCTGAAAATATTTTTAGATTTGTGGCAAAATAGTTTGCGTTTATCATTGATCTGTATTTACAAAATTCAATTTGTGTTTCAACTTGTGCAGCATATTCATATTCTTATCTTTCAGAACATAGAGAGCAACCAAGAAGAAGAAAGCTGATCCGACCATTGCGTAATGTGTTATTCGCTTTTTCTTTTTTTCTTTTTTAATACTCAGTGTTGGCTGCGGCAAATTGACCGTCGTACTAAAAAAAATATTACATATTAAAAAATATTTGTCATGACATTATTGATTGCAGATGAGTTTGACTGACATCAACTTTAAATTTTTTCTTTCTGCGTGACCAGCATAAAAAATATTTACAAAATATTTATCATGACAGTATTAAATATTTTTTATTAAATTTTTTCTTTCTGCTTGACCAGTATAATTATAAAACTCGCGATAGCTATCTCCTACATCTGACATATCTTTTTCTTTTTCTTTTTCTTTTTCCCAATTAATAAGAGTTGGTTTCATACTGACCGACACTCGTCATATTAAGAGCAAAAAAATTTAAACTTGATAGCAATCAAACTCAATTTCAATTTATATTATCATGATAAATATTTTTCAATATGTAATATTTTGGTAAATAATTTTTTCCCTACAGCATGGTGTTCAATTTGACGTTGGCTTCTTTTGTTTTTGTTCTTTCTTTTGAGTGACCGTTGGTTTCTTTTGTGGTGATGAGTCAAAGTCCATTTCAAATAGCTCATCAAAGTAATGACAGCACATCTCATTCTCTTCTTCGTTCTCTTTTCTTTTATAATTTTAAATAATAAGATTAAAAAACAAAAAGTATCTTTTTTAAGTCAATAAAAGTGAAGGTGCAGCATGTGAACCAGTGGCCGAGCCACATGGTGGGGGGAGGGGGAATGCACCCCTCACTTTGAGAAATATTATAAGCATGATATAAAAATTTTGTAACTTTGCACCTCTTATTTTTTATCCTTTGTCCCTTTTAAATTAAATAAAAAATATTCAAACTTAAAAATTTATTAGATATAAAATAATTTAATAATTTATATAAGATACGAAGAATATATTTATATAAAAGATCTTATCAGTTTGGACATTATAATTTTTAAGAAGAAAAATGATAATCAATCTATTTATGTTACTATAATTTTAATCCTACAATATAATTATTGTTTTTTAAAAAATATTATTTTTTATTAAATTATCCCGCATCTCCTGGTTTCGAATCCTGATTCTGCCACTGATGTGAGAGTTGGTCAAATTTAATGGTTCATAAGTATCGTATACTTTTTTAAATTTAAGGACAGTGAATGAGAAGGCAAATAAGTTCCTAAATATTTTTTTATTAATAGTGTTTGAAAAATATATGCTCTTTTTTTATCACATGCTTTCTCCTGTCTTGGAGTTGGTTTCTACATTATCCTTTGCTCTAATTTTCTAATTTCCCAATTTATTTGATTAGTTTTGTTTTTTTATTTCTTATTTCTTCCATTGGACAGTGAATTAGGGCTCTAGCTGTTGCCAACGACCCTCAACCAGGCTGCAGTTGTCATCGAACAAGTCACAAGGTTTCAGGAGTTTTTTTTTTTTTTTTTTTTTCCTTTTTTGGAATTTAAGTCTACGACATAACCGCACAACAGTGACAGAAATTAAGTCATGTCTGAAGGCTCTGAGCGTTTCGGTATAGCACTCAACTCAATATTTAATTCTTTGTTTTTGTTTTTCTATTTACGATTTATGATGACTGTCCTGTCTTGTTTTCTAGCGTTGATGTTTTGAAATGGTATAGTTCCATACTTTGATTAACTCCTTTTATATTTTTTTAATTATTACTCCCTTCATTTCTAAATATATTAGGTATGTGTAATAATTATGTTTAAAAATAAAAAATAAACTAAATTATTCCTATAATTAATAAAAAAAATTTCTAGTGAAAATAAATATTGACTTTATGAGGGATAATTTGAAAAAAAATGTGATAAATGATTCTTAAAATTTGTAATTTTGCTTATAAATAAAAACAAGAGAAACATGATAATTTTTCTTATATTAAAAATTAGAGTAGTATATAATTCTTCATGCTGGACGGGGAGATACAATACAATTACGGAAAATCAAGAGACTTCAAAGACATTGAGTCTCATTTAGTGTTCCGTTAGTAAAAAAAATTAGTTTATTAAAAATTTATTTAGAAAAAATCAATTTAATAAAAGCTAATTATTATGAGAAAATTTATGTTTAGGTTCATAAGTCAGTTTGATAGATTGAAAGTTAATTGAATTAATATGTAATAAAAAATTTTCATAAAAAATATAAAAGCAATTTTGAATATATTATTACTAAAAAAGATATTGATTTTTATGATTTGTATTTTTTGATATACAATTATATTATGCAAAAACTGTTTGAAAAATATGTGATAAAATTATATAAATAATTCAATGTATATTACTGGTATAATACTAAAAATTAACATGATTAATTCTTCAATCTATAATGCACAATTTGAACTCTAATCGAATTATGCACCCTATAATGGTATACTACTAAAGATTATTTTATATTTAATTACAGTATTAAGAAGTAATATATTATTTTGATGTAAGGTTTGATGATACTTTATGTGTGTAGATTCTAAGAAATGAATTATTATTTGATTATTTAACCCATCTTATTACTTTTAGTAGCTAATTAGAGTAATGTTTTAAGAGAATAAGAAATATGCTTTCTTTTCCTCTCAAATTTCTAAAAATGGTAAAAAATTCTAATTTTTTTAAAAGTTATATATATATATATATATATATATGCATGCATGTAAGTATATAAGTATTTTTTTTAATTAAAAAACACTTTGACATTGCATAAACGCGAACGTGGGAGAATGAGGGAATTTAAATCTAGGGAGAATGACAATTAAGTACCTTTTAAGAACATTAATACCAATTACAAACCATGAAATTTTGAAATCTCAGTTGAGGACCATGATCCTTAATTGTGATAAAAAAAATGTAATTTGTGAGGTGGAATTCATTATTACCACTTGGGAATTCACTAACTCAATATGAGAAAATTTGTAACATATATTGTAAAAACATGAAACCTTACTTAAAAATCAATTGTTTAACAAAAAGCGCCACTTGAAAATTTACTAACTCAACTTAAAAAAATTTCTAACGTATATTGTGAAAACATGAAACTCCACTTAGGAATCGATTGTTTAATAAAAAACATCAATTTGGACAAATCACTTTTTTTAAATGATTCTCAAGTAGGGTTTTATATTTTCACAATATACGTTAGAAATTTCTTCAAGTCTAGTTAAGGAATTCTCAAGTAGTGTTTTTCATTAAACATTCCATTTTCAAGTAGAGTTTCATATTTTTACAATATACGTTAGTAATTTTACTAAGTTGGGTTAGTGAATTCTCAAGTCGTGTTAGTGAATTACACCTCACAAACTACATTTTTTTTTATCACAATTAAGGATCATGATCCTTAATTGAAATTTTAAATTTCACAATCCGTAATTGGGATTAATATTCTTAGAAGGTCCTTACTCGTCATTCTCCCTTAAACCTAATTGTATGCTTAGGTTTTTTCTTCTTCATTTTTAATATAATAGAATAGAATAGAATAGAGTGGATTATAGATATAGAGTCTCGAGTGACTATTACACTATTGTTTGGATTTTTGGAAGGTCTTTCCTCTTCACTTTTTTTGTCTCATGTTTGCTGCCTGCACTTCGACAATAAATAAATTACGGAGAATGCCAGTTAAATTCCATTTTTTGGCCAAAAATGACAGTGAAATTCTAAAAAAAAAATTAATAACAGTTAGGTTGTGCCAAAATTTTCTCAAAAAATAAGCTGTGAATATTAATTCAAATAATTATAAATTTAATGATTTCAATTACTTTTACAAATAAAATATTTAAATTTTAAATGTAATTCTCAATTCATAATCAATATTCTTATTTACAATTGTCTATAGTTATGTATAACTTATTTTTCAAACAAAAAAAATTATCAAGATCTGACTGTCATTAATTTCTTATTTGAAACTTTACTGTCATTCTAACTAGTAAATTATACATTTTTTTGCTTAAGTATATGCATAATAACATGTAGGCGTAATAAGCACGACTACAAGAGTAGAGTGAACATTTTAATTTAGCCCACTAGGATCAACATTACTCATTTTAATTGAAATATATAAACAATCGTATGATTTCTTATTTTTTGTTATTTGGTTATTGCCACTAGACATTTCAGCCGGAGGAGGAGTTGAGACTTTTAGAAATTATTCCAATGATTTGACAATCGATTCTGGCCTTGAACTCTTATAGCTCTGTGTTTTAGTCTACAATAGCAAATAAATGTAATAAAATGTATGATAGAAGAATTATTATAGTACACAATTATTCTTTCATAATGAACCTTAAAGAACAATGCCTTTTTGGTTTGAAGATCTTATGCCTGTATTTATGAAAATGAGTCTTCTTATAAGAACAAAGATCATGTTCTTTACATTTGATCTTCAAATAAGGCTTTTTATAGGCAAATTGTAACTTTAGCTTTACTTTAAGCATTGACTTCAAAGAATGCTGTTCACAGAGCTTATTTAGTGTAGACAGAGCTAACTGATTGATTTCTTTGAGAGAGATTTGTGACATATCTCTTCATAATGCATTGATTACTCTATATAGCTCTGGCTGGAGTTCTTCTTGCAAAGAAGCAATAAATGTATGCCTGAGGTTAACATCATTAGGACCATTTAACATATAATATTTTTTAGATATTCATTGAAAATATTTTTATAAATCCTTTCAGTAGAGTGAACTACATTTCATTTCAAAGAACTCTTATCTACTCTTATCAATGAGATTGAAATCTTCTAGGAATTCTTTATGGATTGCCCCAAGAAACTAAGAGGCATTAAGCTGAGTGTCTCAAATCTTATCGTATTCATTAAGACTTTAAAACCATTCTCTCAAATTTTCAATTATCCTTGAGAGAAATTCTAAAAGTACCTCTCTCATAGTAACATCTAGTCTGATCATCTGTAAGTCAATCCAAGCACTAAATTCTTAAAGTCTTTCTCTCTATTTGTATAGAGGTAAATTATCAAATGTAAACCAGGATCCAGAAGTAGGTTTGGAACTAGAACCATGATGAAGTGGTTCAGTCAGAATTTCTTCCATAGTTCCAGATTCTTTATCAGGAGGGTCTTTTACAACTATTTCTATCCTAGTTTCATTTTGAGTTTGCTGCTGGTAAGTTTAAGGTTGGACCATTGCAATTTTTAATAAATCAACTAAGTATTGTTCTTCTTTAGAGTCTATATACTCTGTAGAGGTTTCAATTGAAGCCACAGAGTTTATGTCATCTTATTCAGTAAAAACCTAGTTAAAGATAGCATTTTGATTAGAAGTAATAGTTCCTAAAGGATTTGAGGGATCTTTAATTCCTTTAGCTCTATCAATTGTTGATGGTGGTTTGGTCTTTGGTGGAGGAGGAGGAGGTGTTTTTATGGTTAATAGTTTTTTTTTTTTGAGATTTTGGTGAAAGATGGGGAGGCTTGATAGTCTTGAGGTTTTTGGTGAGAAGGTAGGTTTTCTATATATGAGACAGGTGTTTTTTGGTTTTTTAGTCGATTGTTTCTAGGCTTTTCTGAGAATTGGATAAGACATTGTGAATACTTTACTATAATAAGTCTGAGTTGGATAAGTTAGATGAATGGAGGTATAGGTAGGGAATTGTTTGATCATGGTTAGGTAAGTTGGATAGGGCTCATATTTGCTGTAGTTAAATGTAGAGATTGGTCTTGAGCTAATTCTACTTCTATCCACTGTAGTTGTCCTTTTACTTGAAAAATTTCATTTTCCTTTTTGAAGTATTCTTGTCCATCATATCCTTGTTTGATAAACCTATGGAGTTTTACATCCAGCTTTTGTTCTTGCTTATAGAGCCTTTGATATAAATTCTTTATCTGATCATCAATCTAATTAACCTGTGAGGACAAGTTTCTTATTATTGTTGTTAAATGATTAAGTTTTGAATCTATCTTGTAGATGACTCTATTTTAACTAACAACATTTTGAGATTGCCAGTTGAGAATTTCTTTTGCTAGTGTAACAGGCTTGAGAGTGTCTTGAGGAGTTACGTCTATCTATAGAACAAAAGGTCCACTAGTCACCTTTATACTATCATCTATTTTTCATTTAAGAGGAGGATATTCTTCCTCGTAAAGCCTCGTCATTGTAATATAAGGCAAGGCTTGTGTTTATGCAGGTGGGATAACTGGGATTATTGGTTCTGGGAGTTGTGGAGTAACTAGAGTCATTGGTTTTGATTTATCTGGAGGAGGAGATCTTCATGACTAAGTTTTCTAAGGAGTTTAAAGAGAGTGTTCCTTTTTATAGGAGGATTTGGAAGTCCTACACATTTTCTCTTTCTTGGTTGTTTAGGGCCATGGTCATCATCATCATCCTTAGGAGGAAGCTTGTGCCTACATGGAGATCTAGGATGCTCAGGTTTCCTAGCTCCTTTTCTAGAACTATAGGCTTCATTGTTAGAATCATTTCAAAGATAATAGTCACAATTTGGATCACACATTTTCTAGGCATAGTCCCAAATAAAGTGACCATTAATGTGCAAGATATAGACAGACTTGGCTTTTGCAGTAAACCATTCAATAAGAGGATCCTTCTTGTCTCCAATTAAGTCTGAAGAGATTGACAATATCCTTCTAAAAATCTAGTTTGGATTTTGAGTTCCAGGTTTCTTGAAGACAAAGTTGACAATACCATCTTGTAGCCTATAGAGCGTAGGAGGTTTTGTAGTATGAACATCCTTTTGAATACCATGGAATTGCTTTTCATAGTTGTTTATCCATTCTAGTGGGATCATGTCAGCTAACTACTCAATAGGTAATTGCCTTGGAATTTGAAGGATTGAAGCATCTCCTAGGTTGTTTGCAACCATGTACAATGCATCTCTAGTTACATTGGGGAAGTTGAAATTAGAAGAATGATCTTGAAGCTTGAAGATCATTTAGTGATGGAGGGTGGCCATGACAGTATCAGCTTGTTGTTTAGTTTCATGAATCTGGATTTGAACTTTGAATCTTATAGAAAGAGTTGGATTTGTGAGCTTGACATTAAAGTTGGATGCTATTGTAAGAACCACACTTCGTTGATTGAAAGTAGTCAACATGGAACCAATTAAGGCATTGCCATATAACTTGAAGGTTAAGTCTAGTAAAGCAACCCTAGTAGTGGCTACCATACCTTTTCTCTTATAATAGGTAAGGATGAGGCGAATAGATCCAACATGAAGGTGGGTGTAACCCTAATTGATTCAACCATCAATCAAATGTTAGGCTATCTTAAAGGTGATGAATTGTTCATCAACTGTGGCAGGAATACCATGCTGGTTAATACTAGAGGTCTGGATTATTTCTTTTGGCTGAGGACGATTTGTATGAAGCAAAGTTTTGATGCCACAAGTAAAAGAGTTATTTCTATGGTAAAGTTTGTAAGGATTTAGATAAGAGAGTTAGGTAATTGGGACTCCGACATTCTCAAGAACAATAGAATACTCTATGAGACTTTTTATTTTTTGAGAAAGGATTCTTTTTATAGATGAAGGGATACGATCAAAGGAAAAAGTTGAAGAAAGACGATCTGGTTTAAGAGAAACAATAATTGGAGTTTCAAAAGAAGAGCTTTCTTGGAATCTACTTATATTTTTTGGAGTTCTCCTTACTCATTTTTCATCAATAATATATAGCATCTGTTAATGAAGATATGCTAAGTTGTAAGTTAAGTTAGTGATGAATTATAAATCTTCATATAAAATTTATAAATCCTCTTTCAAAAATTTAAAGATAGCATAAAAAATGCATTCACTTTTAAATCACAAATATACTAGTTATATTGTAATTTTGAAGAATTTGCAAATATCAAAACTTGACTTGTAAATTGTGTGCAAATATTTGTAAATAATAATCATATTTAAATTATTATTTATTAAAATATTAATGTTTATTGAGATATTATTAAAATAAATATAATATTTTTATTACTTACTAATGTTATCATGATTCAATAACCGATCACCCAATAGCGTTTTAAAGTGATGGGTTAAAATGATATTTTGGTTTTTTGTATGGGTAAGAAATAACATAAGTGTTTTAGAATTTATTTATAATTTAGAAGTTTTAATCAATATTATTTTTTTTTATAGCTATAAGGTCAGTTTCAGTAATTTTTAGGTTCCTTTTTATAATTTTTGAGGTCTTTTTTGTATATTTTTTTATGTTTAACGAATGGTCAAAGTTAATCTTTATTGATTATAAGAGTCACATTGCACCAATTTCAATTGTTGAAGATAAATACTGCATAAAAAAAAAGTTTAAAGTATCAAACATTTTTTTGAGGTCTTTTTTCTGTATTTTTTTTTATTATTAATCACCTGGCTAGCTAACCGTAGCTAACCCTATGCCCACTCTGGGAATTATGCACGGCACAATCAATTAATCCTTTATTTTGATCAAACAATATATCGTACCTAAATACTTATTTCTCCATTTGTGCTTGTCATTCTTGGGCACAGGCGGACTCAGTACTGAAGAGGCAGAAGCAGAGGTAGAAGAGCAAACCGAATCGTCAGAGAAGCCAAGCAGCCGTAAGTGTTGTTGACTTGTTGGGCGATTAAGTGCATCAAACTAACTTTATTGCTTTCTTGCAGAATTAATAATGTTTTGTCTTTTCTTTTATGCTCTCTCATGTCTTTATTATATTCATAGTTAAATGAAAAACTTTTAAATTTACATTACATTCATTTTTCAAATTAATGAATTTAAATAAGAATAATATTAAAAAAATGTAATTAATACCTATCAAGTGCCTTACATTAAAGACATAAAAGGTGCCTTATATAATAAGTTAGGGAGAGATCACTTACAAAGTATATATTCCTTCCGTTTAAAAATATAAGACATTTTTTAAAAGGTTGAATATTAAAAAATGTAATACATTTTTAATTTTTTAAAGTATAATCATTACTTTTTTTTAAAGTATCCCTCTTAAATAAATTATTTTATATTTATTAGGGTAAAATACCCTGTTAAATAAGGGTAACTATAGAAATATAGTTAGTTTAAAGATAAGTAATTATTTTGTTAGGGGTGAAATTTAATTAAAAGTACTTTATATTTTTTAACAAAAGAGTATCCTTCAGCCTCTCATACTAGATATATAATATATACATATATATATGTATATAATTGTATTTGTGCGCACGTTCTTCCTTTTTATCAGCAAGAGATTTCGATTGATTCAGGTCAGAGATATAATTCCATAATTCAGGAATCTCCTCGCCTCTCATTTAGAAATTGGTTTTTACCCGGAAATGAAGGAGGACAGATCGGAACCTGTGGTGAAGGTGAACGAACTTTGGTAATGAGGGTATTTGATTCCTTTTCTTTGCAACTTGTGCAAAATGAATCGATATGAATGTCATACGTACACATGATTGGGATTTAAAACTGATTCAAACAAACATGCCTGCCACATTATTATGAAGGGATAGTCTTCTTCTCATTGCCAGGCGTAAATCCCGTAATGTCCGAAGGTATGCCAAATCTCATTATTGTACAGCTACCTAGCTATATATGCCATGCCACTATCTTGAGTACATATACAATACAAAATGAACGAATACTTGTACTTAATCAGTATACATAAATGAGAATTAACACGAGGTGAATCGTCTCCAGTCACAGTTGGGATCAAGAACCACTCGGTGGTGTACTCGTGGTCTTATCCTAGCCCGCCGGCTATGAGCCCGAAATTAGACGTGGAACTTGAGCAACAGAGACCCTCACAGGAGATTGTGCCTCCATCAGCTTCCAAGTAAAAGTTAATGTTACATAGACATGCATCCAACAAGGATCTCAAATTGCTGACAGCTGCATACCAATGTATCACGATACCTCACAACAACATTTACAAGCAACGAACCCCTCTAGGCAATACTGTCCTGCACTTGGCTGCTGCCGAAGGCGATAATGAAATGATAGCAAGCGTGATAGCTGTACGAGCTCCCCACCTTTTCACTGTCACTAACAACAATTATGATACTGCACTCCATGTTGCAGCAAGGGCAGGCCGCGCCTCTACCATTCAAACCCTCCTTAATTGCTTTTTCAGATTCATTCGGGGTAAAACCGAACGTCGAGGTGATCGGTTCATGTTGGACAAGCTGCTTATGGTATCACTCACCTTGTTTCGAAACAAACAAGGAAACACCTTCGTCCACGAGGTCTTCATGGCCAATGGTCAACACGGGGATGAGATTTTTCAAGCTTTCCAACATTCTTTCATGCAAGATCTTTATTCTAACCAGCAGCATCCTTTCACCGAAGATACTTCGACGAGGCTGACTTCAGGGGATTGTTAATTATTTGGCAGCATTTGCAGTCAACAGGGAAGGGAAATCATTATTGTAACTGGCCGTTGAGGCTGGCAAAAATGAGCAAGTCATTGTTCTACTCATGGACATCTGCATCAAATATGACCTAGTGCCCCAAGGAAATCATTGGGAAGAACAAAGGTCGGCTTACTGTCACTCACTCCTTGCTTAATTCCTCACCACGCACATATACTACTTAGATCTAGTTATCAATCAGCTCTCGCATTTCTCCACACTTTTCATACATATGCATGCATATTTTTAATTCCTAAATAGTGAACAGCAATAATTCAGATCGTTTGGGCAAACTTCAAGGGAAATATTGTCAATATATCGTGCATTATCACCCTTTGTAGCTCAACCAAGGGCGGAACCGTGCTTTAGGTTTTGGAGGGGGGTTTAAAATATACTCTCTTTATTGAAAAATATAATACATTTTTAATTGAATTATACCCTCTTAATTAGTTAATTTGTTGTTTTTAAATTGATATTATTTTTTCATGTCTGTATTTATTTAATAAAAATATGGGAAAATTATCCTCAAATCTCACATAAGCAACATCCAACATGTTTTATCAAAATTAAAAAAATAATTAAAATTTATTAACTTATCTAAAAATTCAACACGTTTCTTATTTCATCCCTATTAAATATGCTTATTATGTTTTGCTAACATTAATATGTATCCTTTAATAGTATACTTCTTTCGCTAATATTTAATTTTTTTATTTAAAAAATATAAGAAATTTTTAACTGAATTTTACTTCCTAATAAAGTAGTTAACTGGTTTTAAACTAATATCATTTTTCATATTTATGCTTATTTAATAGGTTTTTTACTTTAAAATAAATATAAATTATTGTTACATAAAAATGCCTTATATTTTTTAATATCCAAGCTCTCAATCTTTATGTAGAAAAAGAGAGAATATTATAAAGTGTGCACTTCTTTTGTCTTTTATAGAGGGGAGGGGGTTAAGGTTTTTCATGGGACTAAATATTGGAGGCCCATAACATATATGAGAAGAGGTAGAGAGGTTTTTTTTTTTTTTTTTTGGCCCCGAGGGGGGGATGGTTCCGCCACTCAACTCAACAATTATTGATGGATTTTATTTGCATAGGTGAATTTTCAAATAGAAATCACCGCTTCTTACTGCTATTTACTTTAATTTCTTTACCCCACGCGTCAGCATGCGCGGCCACACGCATTCCTTAAATAAAATTTAAAAAAAACTCTATTAAGTATTAACACAAATATAATTGTCTTGTTTCACGTGCGGGCATGCGTGCGCGCACGCATCCCTTAAATCAAAATTTAAAAACAACTCTTTTAAGTATTAACACAAATATTATTGTCTTGTTTTGGTAGAAATGCTACACACCATATTGGAATACAAGTCAGATTGGATTCACTTGAAGAATGAAGAAGGGAGACTTCCACTTCACGATGCAGCGTCCACAGGTTTCCTTGAAGGTGTTTCCCACTTAATTGAGAAATGTGAGAACTGCATTATCGAAAGGGACAACAATGGTTGCTTTCCAATTCATTTGGCATGTATTGGAGGTCATTTCAAAATAGTTCAAGAATTGCTAAAACGCTATCCACATCCCATTGAGACTGTGGACAACAATGGCTGAAATTTGCTCCATGTTGCAGCTGAGAGTGGAAATTTTATAGCAGTTAGGTACATCCTCCAAAATCCTGAACTTGAGGTTTTGATAAATCAGAAGGATAATATGGGGAATACTCTGCTACATTTGGCCACCCTTCACTGGCATCCCAAAATTGTGCATGCCTTGACTTGGGACAAAAGAGTTAATCTCACCCTGCCGAATTTTGAAAATGAAACAGCTCTAGACATTGCTGTCCGAACACATGACCAAAATCCACCCCTCGAACAGGCATGTATCTATGTATAATTGACAATTTCAACTTAATCCAATCTTTTGATGATATGATGATTGCTGCTAAAGATTCAGTTTGTAGCGCTAATCAAAAGGTATCTATTATTTGCAGCGGCTTACATGGATTGCGTTGAAATCTGTTGGTACGCCACGAGTCTTTGTAAGGCATCGCTCAAGAGGCACAGAGGATGTAGTGAAAAAAGAAGAACTCGACATGAAACATTATAAAGGCAGAATTAACATTGCTGGTACGCCACGAAGCTTTGTGAGGCATCGTTCAAGTGGCACAGAGGATGTAGTGAAAAAAGAACCCGACATGAAACATTATCAAGGCATAATTAAGACTCTGATATTGGTTTCAACACTTATAATAACTGCATCCTTGCAGCTGGGTTTTCCATGCCAGGCGGCATGGACCGAGGAAGAGCTGTTATGCTACATAATTTCATGTTCCAGTTCTTTATTCTCTTCCTCATAATCTCTATCTTCGGGGCTATCATTACAACCATTATGCTCTTGTGGGCTCAATTAGAAGATTTGTGTTTGATGAATTTTTCTCTCAGCTGTGCAATGCCAGTTCTAGGCATCTCCTCGATGACATTATCTCTGGCATTTGTGGTAGGTGTATATCTTGCAGTGAGTGAACTCAGATGGTTGGCCTATACTTTCCTGGGGATCAGTGTGGTTCTGCTCCTTGCAGTTTTGATGTCGTACCCCCTCGTCTGGTTGCCCTCCTCGTCAACCTCACCATTCTCTCGATATATTTCTTATTACCCTTTCCTTTCCTTTTTCTTGCAATGATAGTTGAAGGAAAAAAGGGTCCCAATAATAGGGTTCAACTTCTGGCAGCTGAATTCTATGATTATGACTATAATGGATGATCACTTTACATTCGTTTTTGGTGGAGTGTCAATTTGGAAACATTAGCCTAAATTCTTGAGTTTCTCTCAGCTACTCTTGTATGTAGTAGAATATGTCACGGAATTACCTGACAAACCATGCATGTTAAAATAATATTTCCATCCTTGATTTTTATGGGTTATTTGTTGTTTTATTTTAAAAATAAATAATGCATGATGATGTCATGCACCCAAAAAATTTGGTGTAACCGGCCCGGAATTGAGTTTCACTTTTAAGCTATAACATCTGCCTTGAAAAATTAAGAGTTATGTGGTGCATTATATAAAATTCATGCATGATAAAAAAAAAAGTTCGCTTAGCAAAATCAGTTTAAAGGCAGCAAATCTCACAACTCATCTTTTTTTAGGACTTTATTTGAATGAATAACAAATGTAAACACAAAGTCGATGAGTAAAGAACTAATCAAGTATGATCAAAAGCCAAAAAAATAAATGAAGGTATAAGACCTAGGAATAATAAGCCTAATACATTGCTCAAGAATAATTAGCATAAGTGTGATGCTCATGAAGACCAAACTAGTTAGGTTTTAATCATGGCATGCCAACATAACTAGCATTAGGAACTAGTATTATGAAATCAATTCCTTTGTTTTCTTCAGCATGCATGGAAAGTCATTCTATCTAATTATGATCTCTTCAAAGAAACTATCATTATTTCAGCTAAACTATTTTTTCCTCATTCCATAATGAATTTATTTGAGTAATTAAGAATCGGTAGCAATTGCAACAATGCTTTTCTTTAATTCTATACATCTATAAATAAATTAACCATTTACAATATGAATCTAATCCTTTTTTTTTTGGGTGCTTGCTTTCACTTATTTTGTTTTGATTATATAAAAGTATGTTAGGCATATAATATTAAGTATTTTTTTGTTTATTTGAAAGCATTTCACAATTTTATCTCTTATGTTTTTCTAAGGGGAAAAAGGTAAGACTTGTTTCTGAAGCTTTGTTCAATTCCTCAAAACAAAATATAAATTTTTTAATATTAGCTTTCATTTAATACTCTAATTTGTAAAAGAATATAAAAGAGAGCGAATACATGAAAATGATAATATTAGAAAATTATAATTACTGAAATTTTTTTTTATTGAAGTATCTTATATTTTGATGTATCAAATTTTCTTTCAAAAATGTCTAATAATTTGAGACAACGAGTGTATTATTTATTTCACATAAATTTTTGTTATTATTAATCAACAGCTAGTTATCTGAGTAACAACGTCACCTCACTCCCGGTTTAACCTTGCTTGCCATTAATATTTTGGGTGCGTGCTTTCACTTATTTTGTTTTGATCATATAAAAGTATGTTAGGTATATAATATTAAGTATTTTTTTTGTTTATTTGAAAGCATTTCACAATTTTATCTCATATGTTTTTCTAAGAAAAAAAAGGTAAGACTTGTTTCTGAAGCTTTGTTCAATTCCTCAAAAAAAAAAAATTCGTTAAAATATTCTATTTAAATTTCATGATAAACCATAAATATAGTATTTTATTAAATATTTTTTTTGAAAATTATAAAATTTAAATATATAATTTTTTATATATTTCATATTATATTGATATATTATATTATGTGCACGAGGGTTAGGAAAATTACTTGTAAAGGGGGAGAGGAAATTTTAGCCTTGGAGAGAAGTTTGGGTTAGGGGCGCGTGGCGCTAAATTGTGATAGCTATCTCCTACATCTCAGGTTTCTTATCACAAGCCTTCCCCGGTCTTGGGAGTTGGTTTCTAAATTTTCCTTTGATCTATTTTTCTAATTTCCCAATTATTTGATTAGTTTTGTTCTTTTATTTCTCATTTCTTCCATCGGACCATGGATCAGGGCTCCAGCTGTTGCCATAACTCTCAACGAGGCTGC